GATAAAAAAGAAAAAAAAAAAGATAAATTAACGTCAGAAGGCTTCAAACGGAACCTTATGACAGTGCAGCATTCGAAAACATGCTTTTATTGACTTAATCGAATTGATACAAAATTGTATTTCCTAAGCTATAATGTACAAGGAATCATCTAAAGTCTATCCTATCCGTTGAGTAGTATAATATGCCACTAGGACGTAAAAATGTTTTTTCATTAAATTTAATTAAAATGCAATTTCTGATTGACGCGGAACGCTTCGTGATAGCTTTTAATGTGGTAATTGCGTAATGACCGCAGATACCTAGACTATAACAATTCGAGCTGGTAGCTATTCATTATTGCCGGCGAAGTGTAGCTTATGGCGCTGAAGTAAACATGGCGTATTAGTGGTGTATCTCTTTTTGCAGTCTACTTTAGCCGTAAGAACTAATTCTTTAGAACCCTTAATCAGAGATAGCAAATTCTGAAATGTCTTCCATGTTTAGCCGAAAAGAGAGGCGTCATATTTTCGACGTCCGTTACGACCACCTTTCCTGACATAAGCCTCTAAGTCACGTTCGTGTATTCTATTCTAACTAATGTTAAGTTCCTAATAACTAATAAATTCGAGGTAAATGGCTAGATTAGGCAGGCTAACTAAATATGAAAAACTTGGAGAGTCCCAGAGACACAGGTTTTTCCATCCTGCCTTTGACGTTCGTCAAAAGCCGGGCACAGGAGCGATACATAAGAAGAAAAAGGTTTTTTTGAGCCATATAGTAAACAAAATAAAAGGCGAATCATATCTGTCGGTGCTATGATTGCGCTGTTAATCTATTTACTGACTAAATCTAAGAACGTAATACTGCTCTGACGTGCCCACTTTTATAGGTGGACACAGCCTGCCAGATATAATATTCTGTTATTTGTCACGTAAAAACCGTACATTTGTGTACCTAAAGAGTGAAAATGTACAGAATATTAAAATCTGAAAAATATTATGATGCTTTTTGTGAGTATCAGATTTATTGCAAGTTCTAATTATTATTTCACTGAATGTGTTATTATTTGCTTTAATATTCTACTTGAACCTTGGTACTGGAAAACGAATGAAGATCTTTTTTAAACGTTGCTTTCCGAAATTCCCTAAATGCTACCTAAATTCGATATTTGAATAATGAGACCGCTTCAAATATTGTTGAGGCGCGCTCATTATTCAAAACCGAAAATAGAGAGAGGACAAAGGCCTTAAGCCTAAGAAGAATCTAAAATGTCGAAAAAATTTAATCGAATGTCCAAAAAACATCGTAAATTTTCAGGGAAGCCTCTACGTTCCTGACTGCGTTCTGACGGTACTCTAATTTGGCTGTAGACAGAGTACGCTCCTTTCAGAGCCATGTTTAGGCCTACTGAATGTACCTTTATTAGGCAAGATTTTGAACTGAAGTCTTACATGTCTGTTCGCGCATAAAACGCATCACTATTGTAAGTCCATAATTGCCGATGCAACCGACTGCACCGCGAAGAATCAATGGGAGGAAATATACAAGATACTACCACAGAACCTGAGTGAAGAAAGAAGTGTTTGTCTGTACCTCGCATCAGAGCGGACACTTTGCGATGTGAACCTACTCTGCCAGTTTCGGCGGAAAAATGAAATAAGGAGGGTTGTGCCGTGGGCTTGCTCCCTGGATGACTTCTGTAAAAGTACCTTGCGGTTCAGATCCGGTGTAATTTAAAGTATACAGGATGGATTCTAAGAGTCACCCACGGTTAGAAAAATTTTCATGTGGCAAATAATTACACGTTGTAGTATTACCACGACTTCAGGAACGCGATTCAGGATGTCCACCTGTTATTTCTCGATGGGTTGACGCGACACCCTATACGGCCAAGCCTATAATTGACAGACGCTAGGGGTTCACTGCTTCAAGTTTCGCCAACGATACTCACTACGTAACTTATGTGAAGAATAAAAAAAATTATGTCAGTTTGATTATGGAAACCGTTCCGAGTTCTCCATTTTTTTGAGAGGTATAGCTCCAAAAATTGTAGTCGCTGAGATAGGCTACATTTATAGGAATTCTCTGTTCGCAGTTTGTCTTTTTGACCAAATATGTCCGTTTTTTTCTGAAGGGGGTCCATTTTTGTTGAAAGTTCTTAATATCAATCAAAGGCTTGCGACTATATGGGTCCAAATAACCGCATGTTCCTCTATTTAAACCTACGTTTTCAGGTTAAAAAACGGGAAAAAGGTGAGGACAAAGACGCTGCTTGTCATTTATGAAGAGGGTTAGGAACGCAACTTTACTACTGTCGTGACAACGCTGTTAGACATCATTATGACGACAAACAGAAGCATAGTCGCCCACTCCTCAATATACTCTATAGTTTGTTGGCAAAATTTGATAAATTGTCCTGTTAATTATTGCTTCTTTCTTCATGCCTGCGGCCATTGCTATCGTATGGACAAACCCTCAAAGCCATCTCTTTGGGGTAGCATAAAGGATTTGCCCACCCTACAAAGTGTAACCGAGGTGGCTCTTACTGGATCTATCCGGAATTTCTTCAACAAATTTACGAAATCGGATAGTAATCATATATCATTTGCGAACATTGAGATTTAAAGCAACAGTGGCCGCACGTTCGTTGCTACTATGGTAAGGCACTTAGATTTACATTAGCCACCCAAAGCAGACGCTGAGGTAAGCCAAACTTCTATTTTCCTGACACGATCGTACCCTTTTTTCAACATGCAAGTCTACATTTAGTGGAATCATTTTTGCTATAATCATTTAGCAGCATGATTATTGCCGTGTCTGCACCGTGATAGCGGGCTTGTTTACTAAACTTAAGAACAAGCAGCGGGCTACATTCGAATCCGGATGAAGACACATTTCGATCCGTGCCAGAAGCCAGCCTTCTGGAGTAATGCTTAAGGGCTAAACACCAAATATAACATCCGAAACGTTTAGCAAGATAATTACGACGGGCATCGCTATTATCGTAAAGGCTGTATTACTGCATTGTGGTCATGGATAGAAAGGTTCTACGGAAACCAACGGAGGCGAACAAATTAAAAAAATATATATATAACAAGCGAGACAAATGAGACCAACCAGAGAAATTCTAATACTCTATTAATCATTCAAAAGCTTGGCGAAAATTAATAGTACGTTCACTCCTAAAATATACGACGTACTTACAAGATAGAAGAATGATTGGTTTTTACTGATATAGAATCTTCTTTGATCTCATTGACCTTTATGATAAGTGCCTGATATGACTGATAAGTGAGGTCCAGTTTTATTGAGAAATAATGAAAACCATATTAAAGCTTGCTGATATCACTTCTCCAATTACCTAAAAAGCATCTTTTTAGGTAGCCACATGCCCTACGTCTTCAGATACGAAATCCTAAAATTAATTCAAGTAAAAGAACCAGTGCTGGTATTAGCTTAAGTTTTTCAGAAGATTTTCATAGTATTTATGAATAATAGTAAGTACAGGATTTTTAAGCAAAAAATTAGCCTTTTATATATCTCTCTTACTACAAACAAGCTTTTAGTGATTGATACTTAAAAATCCCGAAAATCTTGTTCTGAACATCCTCAGAACCTGGTTCACAAAAATGCCCCTATAAATCTCATGCATATCTTCGTCTATTTTGCAAATCTTCATGCGGACGCTTTTGTAAACCATCTACAAATCTTTCCGTCTTTTTAATTTTTCTTTTATTATGTGTAAGTTATTTTTGCCCGAATTCGGACAGGACAACTGAACCTTCAGATAGAATAAGACAGATCATAACCTTAATGCGTTTAACTTCAGTTACTAGTAACACGTTTAGTTAGATGGTGGATAAAATATCTGCAGGAAGTTAGGTAAAGGCGATCAAATGGTTCCAGAAACGACGAGTAAGTAAAATAAGATACTCGATGGCTTCTTCTAATCGTATGACGTATTTTTCTATCCTAGCAACCTATTCTAGCTAGGGAGCCTTTTTCAGGCGAATTAGAAAACTTTTGACAAAAATATACAACCGTCTCTTCCCACTTGATAACACGGTAGCGTACTTTGTAGAATGATGTCTTGGTTGTTTGGGATATATATATATATATATATATATTCTAAAAAAAAAAACTGAAAGAAAATATATATTTTCTTTCAGTTTTTTTTTAAGTAGTACACTAACTTGAACACATAAACGAACGTCTTCCCGACTCAAATTAAGTTCATTTTTTAGAATTTTCTAGAATGACGCTTAAGACCTTCACTCATGTTCACAAATTTTATATGTATGTATATAACTTTTAAAAAAAGTAACAGTAAAGGGAGCTTTTATTTATAAAAGGATATACATTCAACGATATTACCAAGAGTTCGGTACGAAAATGTTTTTCAAAGATTACAAACAGATACAAAGTACCAAAATTCGCATTTTTTTTCTAAAGGAAAGAATTATCTTTTGTATCTGAATTCGTAAGTTTAACTAGCATGGTCATTACTTCGCATACATGACTCTTTTTGTGAACACCATCTCTGTGATTTCAACTTATCTTTTCAACAAAATTTATCTACTATCGATTAAATTATTATATGCTATAAAAAGCATTATCAGTAAACATAAATTTATCCATATACGATTTATCTTTATGTTATTTTGAAAGTGATTTTGATAATAAATCGTTTCTAATTATTCACTGAAATGTGTCGGCCAAATTGTTGATATTGGCTAGTTAGGCAAGCCATTGAACTTTAAACTTCCACAAAACTGAGGCTGCTTACCACAAAGTTAAAGTGAAGTACAAAGAAAAATGATATTCACATATTCAGCCATACAGTATGAAAACGACGTTTTGCAAGAGCCCGCCAAAGCACTAATTTAAATTTTGCGCCCCGCCAACCCTTTCCCATTCACGACAAGTGTCACGCCCCGATATTACTTCCTCGTCGCTTTAGTCGCTGACTACTACTGGTGCTCCACTAATACTTCATCAACATGGCGGCCGCCAACTAGGATTGGGAATCAGCTGTTTTGTTTTCTGTTAAAATTGTGTTGAGTGTGTGGGGTGGCACGGATAAGATAGCATTTGGTGCGCTTCGATTAGGCTTCCTTCAAGAGGTGGCCACCGCGTGGCAAAAACACCAGCCACGATGGAGGGCAAGGATTACGACCAGATTCGCAACCTTACGCTGATGTTTTTTATTGAACGGCTCATGGATAAGGGCCAGCCGCGGACGCTGCACGATCTATCATGCCAGTTCGGCACTAAGGGGTTCACTAAGGAAATGCGACAAATTGCCGGTGGTAGCCAATCCGGCTTAAAGAAATTCCTACAACAGTACCCATCTATATTCACAATCGAAGGAGACCAGGTAAGCAATAAAAATTAGACGAATGATCTGCTAGGACAACGATGTGTGAGATGGAATGGGTCCCTTTCCCCCTAAAGAGTCTACCTGGCGCTCACCTGTATTACTGTAGGACGCAGCCAAATTGAGTTCTTAAATAATAATACCATTTTTTCTCGGTGATTATATTCATTCAATTTTCATACGCAGCGAAGTAACTCAGCTTTTTGCCGTTGGGCTTTAGCATGCCTGGTTTTGGCAAGTTCTTTAGTCAAACGGAACTCTTATGCTGTCAACTGACCAGCCTTCAGTTGCTGAGTGAGTTTTCCCATTGTTTACAGTCCACGCCTCTTGAAGTCTCTGTTGCATCGATCAGGGCCATATTTGTCCTTTGTGTTCGTCCGTCGTACGTGTCCGAAGCTATTACAGCAAGCAGATTGCTGTGTAAAGGCCATACCACATATTTATTAGTTATAGTCTGATGCTGCTTTGCTTGATACAGGCGGTATCAGTGGATGAAACATTGACCGCCGGTAGACCTGACGTTTCCTACGAAGTCCACAAGCAGCTGGGAGATAGATCAACAAACAGCGGGTATTTAAACCGCGATATCTATCTAGTTGAAGTACTTAGTTGAGAACCAACCTGCCCGCTGTCTATTTTATTAATCGGAAGGTGTCGACAGAACCAGACAAGCCTTTGCGGGACACAAATTTTTGCTTCGAGGGCTATCAGTAGAACCCCATTGTAGCCGTTAACTGATAACCGATAAATAACGACGAACTGTCGTGAATGGCAGGTATCTTTCAACGCCATTTTTTTGCGAGCAGCGAAACGATCCCGTCGACATCCGTCCAGTCATTAGTGAAGGGGCATTTATACGGATGCGTCATGCCCACTTCTATCCGGCTACCCAGCTAGACGTTTTTAGCTCACCATCGCTTCCTCCCCACCGAAAAGACATGAAGTTCCGCAGTGTACATACCAGTGCCGACCAGCGATTTGATCACGACAAAAACCTATGCGAGCCCTTGATAATCAGTGTCGTTCGTTGAATTCGTTGCGTTTCATCGTATAGTAGGAGCTGATGAACAATGGGCCTATGAGCCGACATTAATGTATCGTAATAGGGAAATACTACAGGACCACTGTTACTTTCGCCGTATTTGTTGTCTTTTCAGCATTCGCCTAGTTGAGCGTTATAAGTGTTTGTATGATGTTTGTGTTTGCATGTGCCTTAAGGCGTGTTCTGTTATACTGGAGAAGTTACTGGCTTATTCATGGCTGCTGTTGTGGAGGGATATCGTTCTGGCGGGCGGGCGGGCGGACGGGAGGTCTCAGCTCCGTGTGGTCCACTTACGGGTCAAACACCTCATGGCAGACGTTCACAGGGGCAGCAAATATGAGTCAAAGCCGCACCTCGATGTCGTGGTCGCAAAAATGCAACAGAACGAGCGCTGATAGAGAGAAGTGCTTATTTGAGAACTTTACAAATTAATTAATATTCAGGTTCTAACTTTTCGTTGTTTCGCAACTTCGGAGCTTATTCTGTGTAGGACTGGTTTGATTTTTGACATTAAGGCTATGCGTTTTTACCTTATAGACACCTGGATGTGTCCATAATACGTAGGGTTTAATTATGTGTCGCCTTCATGCTTCCTTTTTTTTTTCTTTATTTAGAAGGACATCATGCTAGAAACATGTATTGCTAGCTGGGTCTAGGTAACGTATCTTTAGAATTGGCGTAAGCAATAGAACATAGGTGCCCAAAAAGTCAAGGCTTTATAGTGTTTTAATAGGTACATGATGTTTAGATTGGTGCTGAGAAATTGTGTTATAGGGTGATCTTCAACTTGTTTTTCTTGTCTCGCTACAGTAGGTGTGCTACAAAAGTAACACTTAAGTTAGTCTATTTTTCTTTTTGGCGGTAAAACTTCTTGGCCTCGGTGACCGCGCGGTGGGCAACGTTGCCCATGGCGCGGTTGAGACCGGTTCGACTTCGGACTCTCTATTGACGCGTACGATCGAACACATCAACAACGCCAATCGTCGGTTTATCTTCAAAGTAGAATACGTTAACTGCGGAAATCCAATAACGAAATATCTCCAAACAAGCGAATTTTTCGCCTAGTTCTACTCTGCTAGAACATAGGGGCTAGTGGAACGTCTCTTTAAGGTAATAGTCACAATGAACGGAAAAAGCGAAAGGAGTCTGGGGGGTAGTAGATTTTCGTAGTCGGGTCTTCGGCTGTGTAACTTCGGCATCTGTTGACGGGCATCCACTGCCAGGACGTGCCTGTTTTCGTGCTGTCATCCCACAATAGCGCTTCACTGAAATGTGCCATATAATGGATTATTGTCAATGCAATTTTCCGTAATTTCGACAGGTGTGTTTAGATATCGGTCTGGGAGGCCCATTAATGTGCACAGCGTCTTTACCGACTATATATATATATATATATGTATTTGTGCGGTTGTATTGCATGGCTTGTCGGAAATAATGTAAGAGTGCCTATGGGGGACAACCGATAACTGTCAAAAGTTACCTTAGCACCTAGAATTGGCTTAGTTTTATGTACTTTGGCAGATTCGGATCCATGAAACAACGAACGTAATGATGTAGTCGACTGTTCATATGGTTTTTGTTCGAAACCGACGGCGCGACCATGAACTTATTTATTTCCACGTTACTTTAGCTGATATTTTCTTGCTTGATCTCGGTCTAATGGAATTGCCCCTCGTTCTGACTGTAGTTAAGCACGATTCGTAAGCTGCCGTACAGTTTTTGGCTGGAGCCACTGTATGCGTGTAAATTAGCCAACTGTGTCATTTAGGATCCGTTAAAGGATCAGTGTACACCAACCAGTTTCAGAGCGCACAAAGTCTTCGAGCGATTTGCTGATATCATAGTCAGGTAACTTCTTACGGAGAAGCTGAAGATAAACTGTAACGTAGCAAGGAAGATTAATTAAATTAAATGTATATAAATGAAATCTCTTGTATATTGAGATAGGGCTCACACGAATGAAAATTATTTGTGAATTATTGTCATGCATGTGACGTACGCGGGCCTTGCTGTCAGTCCAATATGTAGACAACGAAATGATATTTACGTTGTTTCAGGTAACGCCATGTGATACATTCTAGACAAAATAAAATTGATTAACGAAACTAATCAATATATTGATTTTACGCTTACACTTGCTCATTGAAAAAGTCATTAACAACATTTCGTGTTTATCTGATCAATTTTTATGCCGACGAATTTATGTTTCAACAAAATTTTTAGATTAGTTTATACAGAGGTCTACTATGTTCAGTGATCGAAAAACTGTCGTTGACCATGCCCTATTCAGTACTAGATTTGGTGACGTGCGTTAACCTAAGATATTGAAGGTGTTCACCAATTTTTAACATAGTAGTACATACGGAAATCAAATAACGAAGATTTTGTAAAAGCCGAAACAGGCTGTGTAATTATCACAAAAAATAACAAGTTACCACCAACAACAAGATCTAATCAGATCTGAAAGCTTATTATTTCGACTGCAGCCTTTGATCATTTTGATTCTGTGCATTTATAATAGGAGATAGTCAAAGCATCAACTTAAGTTTAAAGGTCATAAAAACACAAACTACGTCTACATTCTTATTAGATGTTTATCAATGACAGTGACTTAATTTAATAAAAATTCATTTAAGCATTTTTTTTAGTCGAAAGTCAAGCAAAGGTAAAGATGAAGTTAGGGTAAGTATAATTTGCCATTGAAAAAAAAGAGTTAAGCTTGATTGTTTGGTTGGTGTTAAGGGCCGTATTATTTTCTACTGTCGCTACAAAATGAGATAACTGCTGATCCTTTATTGATACGTGTGCTTCCCTTATCAAACAGCTGGCGGCGAATGTCATCGTGCCGGCCGTCATCAGGTTACCGTGAGTCCGATTGATGATCAGTCCAGTTAGCGGTCCGGCTTACCTAAATATATGTGGTTTACTTCATATAAACACACGCAGACAGCAACTCAACATAAAAGCTGTCCCATGTAAATGAGCTGAAGGAAGGAACGAATAATAAATAACACCTACACGGGCTTCACTTGGACATTAGCGGCGGGAGTCAAATACTAAATACGATGTCTACTCCGGGACTCTTTAGATCGAAAACTTTCCACCTGTGGACAAGAGACACAACAAATACCGCGTTCGTTATTTCACTATTATTATAGCACTATATCTTCAGTTTCTTTTTCTTTAAACAAACATACGTTGTACAGAACTGAAGCATTCTAAATACAATTACGCTAAATGGTTTATCGTTGAGCTTTTTCTTGCAGAAATCGTTCCAACAGCCCAATAAGTGGAAAGGGCTTAAAACTGTATACTTGATCAAAAACCTACTACCGCAAGAAAAGGCCGGATTGAAACGAGATGGTAGTAGTTCAGGAGACTATCCCTCAATCCTTGGCCACTTAAGGCGGTAATTAAAATAGCAATTGCAACTCGATCTGCTACGATACCTGCCTTTAATTATAACCTATAACTAATAAGGGTTTATCATTCGATCAGATCATGTTTGCCAAGCTCATCTAGTTCAATCTTGATTGATAGGTGATTTCATTAATCATTGCGATTAATGTGTTAATTCTCAGATATTCACTACGACGTGAAGAATATTTCACTTCTTTTTAAGAAAGGTCATTTGAAAGCTGTTGCCAAAAATCAAAAATAGGGTATTGAAATAATCTGCTCAAAAGTCAGTGTCGTTATCCATATGTCGCACCACTGGCGAAAAGATAGTTGTAGACGTCAATTCAATAATTAAGAAAATCGTCCAATAGTGGAATTGTTGATGTCGCAGCGTTGCTCGTTGTCTTCCTACTCCGGAGCCGATTTCTGTGTTCTTAGTAAAATTGCAAGTTAAAACTACTTTCCCTGTGAATGATGTCGCTTGGGGATAGATGTGGCATAAAAGCCTGTGGGAGAGGCCGAAATTCGAAATCGTAATTATCTCTATTGATTGTAAGAC